GAAAACCATAAAAGCTAATGAAAGAAATAAAAGACCTAAATAAATGTAAAGATATAATGTGCTCATGGATTAGAAACTCAAAATCAGTCCTCCTCAAAGTGGACTGTGGAATTAATGCAACAATTATCAAAAATCTCAGTAGGATTTTCTTGTAGGTATAGATATGCTTTTTCTAAAATTTATATGAGAATATAACAAACAATTCTGAAAAAGAGAAAAGTTTGAGAAACCCAACTATGCAATTTTAAGACTCATTATAAAGTCTTAGGCAAGACATGATATTGGCAAAAGGATAGAGACATAGATCAATGGAACAAAACAGAGAGTTTAGAAATAGACCCACAGAATTGTTATTTCATCTTTGACAAAAGTACAAAGATACTCTTCTTTAAAAATTATGTTTAAAATACAACCAAAAAATAAACCTTAACCTAAACCTCACAATTTATATAAAGATTAACTCAAAACGGATTGCAAATCTAAATGTAAAACATAAAACTGTAAGATTTTTAGAGGGAAACATAGGGCAAAATCTTTGTGACCAAGGGGTTAGGTGAAGAGTTCTTATATATGATAGAAAAGCATAATCCATAAAAGCAAAATGATATGTAAATTGAACTTTATCAAAATTAAAACCTTTTGCTTTGGCAAAGACACTATCAAGAGAATGAAAAGGTAAGTTAAAGATTGAAAGAAAATATTTGCAAATCACTTTTATGACATAGGACCTAAATCCTCAGTATGTAAAGAATTCCTTTTAAAAATGTACTTATCTTTATTTTTAATTACTTTATTTTCTTACATCATTGTTAATATTTGGACAGTACTTGATTTCTACCATCTGTGTTCCTGAACAAGTAATGAATTTTAAAAAATTAACAATAAGAAAATAAAATTACAATTAAAATATAGGCAAAGGCAATGATGGGTGATTGAATAAAAAAGATATGGTATATACACAGTGGAATAATGCTCAGAGATTTTATAAAAAGATGAAATTTTGCAATTTGTGGTACCATTGATGGAAGTAGAGGGAATTATGCCAAGTGAAATAAGTCAGAAGGAAAAAGACAATAGTGAATGATTTCACTCATATGTGGAATATGAAAAAAACAAAGCAAAGGAAAAGACAGAATCAAAACCAAAACAGGGCCTCCCTGGTGGCACGAGGGGTTCAGCACCTCACTATGAAGCAATCCGCAGCCTCTGCAGCACAAGTTTGATCCCTGGCCAGCCAGGAAGCAACCCACATGGTGCAGCAGACTCTCCTGACATACCCACTGCTCCCCTCAGCAGTGTACTTTGGTCAATCTGCTTGTTCTGTTCCCCACTGTCTCTGGTGGATCCTCTCATCCCCCGCATCTCTGGCCTCTACCCCAGCTCTTGTATGCATAAATAAATAAATCTTTAAAAAAAACAAAACAAACCCAACCCTTGAATCTGACTGTAGAACTGCAGTTACCACATAAAGAGGGACATATGGGGCCTCCCTCATGGCCTATGGGTTAAGCCTCCGTGCTATCACTGCTATGGCCTGAGTTCAATCCCCCGCCAGGTAGCTAACCCCCATATGGCACTGCAGACCTCTCCTGTTTTGCCTACTTCTCCCCTTAGCTATGTATTTTGGTAAATCCACCTGTTCTTCACCCCACTCAGTCTCTATTGAATCCTCTCATCCCCTGAACCTCTGGCCTACACCCCACTTCTTCTATGCAAAAAATAAACATGCAAAAAATAAACAAAAATGCAAAAAGTAAACATTAAAAAAAAGAGGGACATAGGAGCAAAGAGTGGAAGGGGTTCAGTAGCCTGTGGGGAGGGCTATTGGTACTTTGGTGGTGGGCATGGTGTGGCAACATGCATTTGAAGGGACGTGAACCTGCACTATCAAAACATACACAATATTGTAAACCAGCGTTACCTTAGTAGAAAACTAGACAAAGCACTTGAGTGGGCACTTCACCAAAGAAGACAGTAAATAAAATACAAAAAAATTTAACCTTATTTGCCATTAGGGAAATATAAATTAAAACCATGATGATAAACCACTACATATGATATACAAGTACATACCTCTTAGAATGGCTAAAATAAAAGATACTAAAAAACAGACTTCATTGAAATTAAAGATCTTGCTCTATCAATACTCTGTTAAGAGGAGGAAAAGACAAGCTATAGACTAGGAGAAAATATTTGCAAAATGCAAAAGACTAGTATATAGGCTATATAAAGAGCTCTCAAAAGTAAAAACACAAACAGTCCAATTAGAACATGGGCAAAAAGCAGGAAGAACATTTCATGAAAATACACAGATGGGAACTTAGCACATGAAAAGATGTTAAGCATCATTAGTCATTAGAGAAATGCAAACATTTAACCACAATGAGATAGCACTGTATACCTATCAGAATGGTTAAAATAAAAAAAAATAGTGCCAACACCATATGCTAGTTGTGATACCGAGCAAACTAGATCACTTGAAGATTGTTGTTAAGGATGTAAAATGTCACAGCCTCTCTGGATAACAACTTGGCAGTTTCTTTAAAAAGTAAGCATGCAACTACTTATGTAAACCAACAATTATACTCTTAGACAGTTATCCTAGAAAAATGAGGACATGTTCATTAATCCACGCATGAACATACATAGTAGCTATATTTTTGACAGCCCTAGACTGCAAATAATCCAGATGTTCTTCAGGGGTGAATGTTTAAACAACTGTGGTATATCCAGACCATAGAGTACTATTCAGCAATAAAAGGGAGTGAACTCCTCATGTTGGTCAATGACCAACAGCATGTATGATCATGGTCCTCACACATAGTCTATGTGCATAGTTGGTTATTCCATCTAAGTTTATGTAAGTACATGATAACATTTGTTCAGTGATGAAATGACCTAATGATGCATTTCTCAGAACATAACACCATCATTAAGCAACCCATATATATATATGGGTTGCTTAATGATATATATATATATATATATATACACCAGGTAAAATTCCAGAGATTTAGATGAGTAAAAAAAAAAAATTAGCCCCAAAGGTTTACTTACTTATGATTCCATTTATATAACCTCCTTGAAGGGACAAAATTATAGAAATGAAGAATAGATTGTGGTTGCCAGGAATTAGGGAGGGGGTAGGAGGTGAATGGGGATGGCTATTACAAGGCAACATGAGGGATCCTTGTGGTGGAAATGTTCTGTATCAACATTAATATCCTGGCTATGAAATTGAACTACAGTTTTGTGAATGGTTTCCATTGGGGAAACTAGTTAAAGTGTATAAGGGATCTCTTTGTAGTTTCTTACAAATGCATATGAATCTATAATTATCTCAAAATTTAAAAATACTGACAATATTAAGTTTTGACAAAGGTGTGGAGGAACATGTGTTCTTATACACTTGTATTATTTCCACTCTGGAAAACAGTTTGGCAGTTTCTTAAAAAGTGAAATATACACTTACCATGACAAACAAAACCACTCCTGGTTTACCTTGTAGAAATGAAAACTATGTATATGACACAAAAACCTGTACACACACAAAAACCTGTACATGAATGTTCATAGCAATTTTATTTATGACAGCCAGAAACTGGAAACAAAGTGCCCATTAAATAAGTGTTGGATAAACATACTGTGCCATACAGTGGAATATGACTCAGCAATAAAAAAGAACAAACTATACATATAATAATGTATGTATAGTTACATATAACAATTTGCATTAATTTCAAAGACATAATACTGAATTTAAGAAAAACCAACCTTCAAAAGTTACACACTGTATGAGTCCATTTAGATGGTATTCTCAAAAAGACAGACCTATGGTGATGCAGAGCAGATCAGTAGTTGCCAGAGGTTAGATTTGAAAGGAGGATGTGATTAAAAAGGAATGGCTTAAGACAGTTGTGGGGCTCATGAAGCTGTTGTGTATCTTGATTGTAGTGGTGGTTACACAAATCTAAATTTGTGTTTAAATTCATAGAACAGTATACCAATAGAAAAAAAAAATGTCAGTTTTACTATATGATGATTATCTGTAAAAAGAGATCTCTTTCCCCCTAGCTAACAGCTCTGTGTCAATGTTGAGTTTCAACTACCACCTGCTCCTTTGATTGGTCTCTTTTGTGTTTTGTACAACCTGTATAATCATAAGTTTCAATCTTGCCAGGCATAGTGGCACCTTAGAATAATGAAATGGAGGTGTTTAAAGACTATGTAGGGGATTGCAAACTACTGTTAGTGAAGGATTAAAAATCTCTCCACTTGTTCTGTAGATAAATTTAATCTTGGGGTATCTTTCTAGCTTTATTTCTTTAGAAACCTGGTAATGATGAAATGTCAGTTGTGTTACAAGTCAACACTGGTTATGATAAAAGTGAGCACAATTACTATACCCTGTCTGGACCAAGAGGATTGTGAATGAAAGAAAAATATCCTGTAGGAAATTCTAGCTTTGGCCTCCTCCGAGCTCAACAATTCTGTAGTTGGACATATTGCTTATGGAAGCAACACTTTGGGGATTTCCAAGAGATGTTGGTTCCTATTTGGGAACGCAGACTTCCAAAGCCCAGAATGCTCTGTGTGATCTTATTGTCTTATATCTGAAGTGCCACCTGGAAGTCCAAAGAGGAACCCTTTGACTGCAGTGCGTGTGACTTGTAGACGTGATGACTGTGCTGTTTCCTTTCCTTCACTTTTCTAAGAAAAACCAATGCCAAGTGAGGTCTATTGTGTTCTTGTGAGTATGAAATGACTAATTAAACAAATGATGGCCTTAAGTGGGAATTGCAAATACTGTTAAAATTATTCAGGGGATTAAACTGAGTCTCTTGGAGCTAGCTTAGAAGAGTTAGGAATCTGGCAGGTAAGGGAACAAATGGAATTCCCTTTTTTTCTATTCATCTAGCACAACATAACTGTGTGTTCTGGGCGAGTGGTTAAGGTCTTATACACTGTCTGTGGGTGAAAAGACTTTATATCTTCCTTACCTTGGGGAACTTGCACAAGGCCAACATTTAAACCAGCAAGTAAATCTCCAAGAAGCCAGTCCTTGAATCGGTAGAAACATACCCACTCTAGGAAGGGAAAGAGTGTAAGCATGCATCTTAGGAACTTGGGCGATGAGCAGCTGTGAGAAAGAACAGAGATTTGATTAGGTTCTTCAAGAAAATGCCCACCTAGACAAGAAAAGGCACAGTTCATAATTCTCCTCCCCATACAGCAGTGTTTCTTGTCCATACTATTAACACTTTGACACATTAGACTAGAAATTTCTTTGTTGGTGAGTTGTCCTGTACATTACAGGATGTTTAGCAGCATCCCTGGTTTCTATCCACTAGATGCCAATTGCACTCCCTCCCCCAGTTGTGAAAACCAAAAGTGTTTCCAGATATTGCCAAATATTTCTTGGAAACAAAATTGCCTTCAGTCTGAGAACCAGCACTGTGTGTATGACAAGAACTAAGCCTTGTAAGTCCAGCATAAGAATAAGGTAAAAATGAGGCACAGTGGGGTTAGATAGGTTAAATATAGATCTGTGTTTTTACAGGATGTTTGGTAAGAATGAAACCTACTAATTTTCCAATAGAAAAACAGACATTTCTGTTTTCTCCCAGTAAGGTCTGTTTTTTTGAGATGTGGTTGCAGGGGCAGTTAACACATTCACATCTTTCCCATATTCTAGAATTTTTACCAGACATTAACTTTATGTGGCTTTGTCCTGTCATATGTCAAAATTTATAGAAAATATAGAATATGGAGTCATGCTTGAGTTAGTCATGTGAAGAAAAGGCAGTAAAATAAGGTGTATTTTTAAATTTTTTTTAAAGATGTATTTATTTATGCATACAAAAACTGGGGTACAGGCCAGAAGTGTGTGGGGGGCGGGTAAGAGGATTCACCAGAGACAGAGAGGGCAACAGAATAGGCAGATCGACTGAAATACACTGCTGAGGGGAGCAGCGGGCGAATCAGGAGAGGTCTGCTTTGCCATGTGGGTAGCTCCCTGCCCAGGTATTGAACTTGTGCTGCAGTGGCTGCAGATAGCTTCATAGGTTGCATCTTAACCCCTTGCGCTACCAGGGAGGCCCAAAATAAGATTTTATTATCCTTTAACTCAGTGGCTATCAACCAGAAGCAGTTTTGCTCCCCAGGGAACATTTGGTGATGTCTGAAGCCATTTTTTATTATCACGACAGGCATCTAATAGGAAAAGACCAGCGATGCTGATAAATGCACATTAGAGCTTTCTGAAAGCGACAATTTTCTGATTCAAAATGTCATCATACTGAGATTGAGAAAATCTACTATAATCTTTAGATCTCCTGAAACAGCAGAATCATCGTTAATCAATCATCAGTTAATCAATTAGTAAAACTAATTTGGTTTTCAATTGCTTTTTGCTATTTCCAATTTAGTATGAACTGAAAGCAAAGAGTATGAAGATTTTTCATACATGTGTTGGCTAGATACTTGGGATTCAACTACAGCAACTATTATAATTTTAGTGTATGCACGGCCAAAATGTGTGCTCCGGATATAAGTATTTCACATATGTTTGACTCTCACCACTATGAGCATTATAAACCCTAAGTTAATAAGGGTCAAATAAGTGTGACTTTGCCAAAGTCACAGCAGTTAAGTGTGGGCAGAATTGGTTTGCTATCCACCCTATTTCCTCACTCTTTGTATTGATAGTTGTTAAATTCTGCTCAGGTGCCAGAAGCAAGACCATTGGTTTGGAAGGAATATCACACCGCTATTTTATGAGAGTCCTTCAGTATAAGGCAGGTGCACAAAGTTGTTTTCTCCAGTTATGGCCCTCTATGCAGGAGAGTGGTGCATAGGATTGGGACAACTTATTTCTTCACCTGTTCCAAGTCTCCCCTCCTCTCCATGTGCCACTTGGCAGAAGACCAGTCACCCTAGGGACCCTAGGCAAAGTCATCAAAGCTTTTTAGCATAGAAAAAGATAAAACTGATATAAAAGGATGAAGATCTAATACTGAAAGTAATCAAGTATGTTTGGGGGAAGGGGAAGTTTCAGAGCAATAGCAACTGAAGCTGATGGGGAAACATGGGCATTTCAATGTGAATTTGGATTTACCTAAGGAATCTGCAAGAGGGAATTATAAGAGTTGATGTAAAAGCACAGAGGAGATTTTTACAAGAAAGGAAATATTTGCAATTGCTAAATAAGAGGAAGAAAAGAGATGAGGTTTTCTGCAGAAAAGAAGAGATGCAGTTCAAAGAAATGTATTTTCTCAACTAAAAATACCTCATTTATATAGTGCTTACTATTTGCTAGTTGCTTTAGGAATACTCTAAACCCTCACAATCACTTTATGGGATAGATGCTATTATCACCCCCATTTCACAAGTGATAAAACTGAGGCACAGTAGGTTAGATAGCTTAACTAAGGTCACAGTTGGGATTCAGTCAGCCAATCTGGCTTCTTGTTTTTAACCACTGTGCTGTGCTACCTTTCTGGTTAAAACTCATAAATGGATATAATTTTATGTTTTAAAAATAAGGAATAAGCATTGTTATAAAAACCCACGGGAGGCAGACAGGTCAGGTTTAAGTGGCCACTGCTAGGGCAGGTAGAGGGGAATTAGGCTGAAGTTTCCTTGGTAATATGTTTATATAATAAGGTAAGTCAGGAAAAAGACTTTCCTTTTGTAGAGACAAAACCAATGTAGTCCCCAAATGCCTTCAGGGACATGTGTCCCATGACCCATCCTGGAGCAGAGAAAATGAGAGTAGAGAAGCAGGACCAGGTAGGGATATCCATGACCACAATCTGCAAAAGGCAGGCTAAGGATTGAGAAAGCCTTAAAGAGGGGAAGAGCTGGAATAGGTTGTATAGAGATCGCCCTCTCTTGTTACTCAACACATGCCAATAGTGAGTGATTCAGCAAGAGATGAGTAGGACTAGTAAATTCAGAGGACAACTTAAGTAACTAGGGTTCATATCAAGGTATAGGTCACAAAGCCTTCCTAACCTAAAGTGTATGGGACCCCAAGAAATAGATAGAATAGAACTCATGTGGGTATGTGAACACAGGAAAAATTTTATCTTTATTTTCACTAACCTTCTAATTGAAATTTAGCATTTCCTGCTATTATGATAACAAAGCTCAGTAGTATCAGCAGAATTTTACTTTGTCACCAATAGAAATCCCAAATATTTTCCTATGATATTAAAATTGCTATATATATCTTAAAATTGCTAAAAATACCATTTATTTCACCACTTGAAATTATTATAGTTACTAGATCCACATTATTAAATAACATAATTTTGGAACTTTTCATATTTTGGTAGTTATGTTTCAATGTAACTGTTTTATAAAATTATGTATTTGATGCATTAGAAAATTATTCTGACCAAGATCATTCAGTGGGGAAATAGCAGTCTCTTCAGCAAATGGTGCTTGTAAAAATGGGATGTCCATATGGGAAAAGAATTAAGTTGCACCTTTAATTTACACCATGTGCAAAATGGATCAAAGATCTAAATTTAAGAACTAAAACTCTTAGAAAAACACTTTAGGGGGAGTTCTTTATAATCTTGGATTTCACAATACCTTTTAAATTATGATACCAAGGTCACAGGCAACAAAAGAAAAAAATAGAAAAATCAGATTTCATTAAAATTAAAAATGTTTGTGCACCAAATGATACTATCAACAGAGTGAAAAGACAGCCTACAGAAAGGGAAAAAGTATTTACAAATCATACATGTAATCAGGGTTCAGAATTTATAAAGAACCCCAACAACTCTACAACAAAAAGACAACCTAATTTTTAAACAGACACGGAAAATAGACATTTTTCTAAAGAAGACATGCAAATGACCAATAAGCATATGAAAAGATGCTCATCATCTTTTGTTATTAGGGAAATGGAAAAAAAAACCCACAATGAGATATACCCTCATACCGACTTAGAATGGCGAAAATCAAAGAAATGGAAAATAACAAATTTTGGACTGACTATGGAAAAATGAGAATCCTTGTATATTGCTAGTGTTAATGTATAATGATGCAGACACTGTGAGAAAGATAAACAGAATTCACATATGATCTAACAATTCCACTTCTAGGAATATACCTAAAAGAATTGGAAACAGAGAGGCAAAAAGGTACTCCTATGCAAATATTTATATAACTGCATTATTCACAAAGCCAAAAGGTGGAAACAACTCAAATGTCCATCAACCGGTGGATAAATAAAATCTGATGCATACAATGGAATATCATCAGTCATAAAACAAAATGAAGTACTGTCCATCCATGCTACATCACAGACCAACCTTGAAAACATTATGCTAAATAAAAGAAGCAAGATACAAAAGACAAAAGATAAGTATTGCATTTAAATGAAATCTCTGTAATAGACAATTTCATAGAGACAGAAAGTAGAAGAGAAGTTATCAGGGACTGAGGGGAGGGAGAAATGGGAAATAATTGCTTAATTATTTGCTTAAACAGTTTCTGTTTGAGGTGGTGAAACATTTTGGGAACAGGTGGTGGTGATGGTTGTACAGCCTTCAGAATGACTTCCATGCTATTTTGTATATCCACAGTGGTTAAAATGGCCAATTTACATACTTTACTGCAATAGGAAAGTTTAAAGTATTCTGAAAAGAGCTTCATGAGTTTTACCACACTACAAAAACTTCACAGCACAAAAATAGGTTAAGCAGCCCTGGTCACAGTGAGTATCAGAGCCATGGGGATCTGTGTTCATGTTGATGACTACAAGTAGTGGATTCAAGGTGACAGGGATCTCATTCTGTTACCATTTGTTTCTTTAGTCCGCCATGGTTGCTTTTTTTGTTGTGGTTGTTGGGGGAATGGTCATCGTGGTACCTGAACAATGTATTTTTTTAGATGAGTTGCAGGATACAAGGTGAAAACACAATAGTCAATTGCACTTCTATATTCAAACAATGAGCAATTTAGAAGCCTAATCTATTTTTCATTATCATTTACACTGTCTCCTCCAGAATGAAATACTTAGTTTAAATCTAACTTAATATCTGTATGCTGAAAACCATAAATTGCTTCTAAATTGCCATTGTTGGGTGGGTCGTCCAAGGTCCTTATGCCTAAGAAGTTGACAATTGTGAAGGTGCTACAACACAGACAAAAAAAGCTGCAGAGAAATTACACAGCAAACTAAGAGTTCTGATGACAGGAATTCAGAGGAGGAAGACAAGAGTCAAATAGGGGCTTGGCACCACTGAGCTTGGTGACCATGGAGGACAGTATACACGCACCGGCACTCAACATGGTGTCTGAAGGTGGTGATGTCGATGTCCAAGTTCCTAGAAGAAATGGTCTTTGTTCTGTGTTGCTGTTGAAAGGTCTCCTCATTATACACATCTCGCTTAACATCATACGTGAAAGAATCTGTCCTTAACTTAGAGTCAAAACTCTGGTTGCTCCTTTCTGCGTGCATCATTTCTGGATGAGTAGAAAGGGGAAATGAAAACAATTAAAAAAAACCTTGATTTTTGGCACACATTTATAGAAATGAACTTTCCAGTAATGATGTATTTTATTTGTATAATGCATTGCAGTTTTATAAAATTTTCTCACGCATTGTACAACGTTTATACTCAAAACCACCCTAGAAAGAATGCAAGGTGTCTATTATTCTTACTTTCCAAATGGAGAAACCAATGACCACAACTTTAAACATTCTTGGGTATTTAACAACAGAGTGAGGTCTAGAATGCAAACGTCCTGCTAAAACCCCTAGTTTTATTTTCATTAAATTATGTTGGTGCATTGCAGAGAAATGACAGATGAATGCTAAAAGTGGTCATAATGTGTTGTAACTCCTACTCTAAAATAGAATCCATCATTATCTTTTTTCTCTTTCCTTTGTTTCATAATATTTACCAGCACCTGATTCAATATTTGTCTCCTTGCCTACCTTCTGTTCCCTCCACTAAAATGTAAGTCCAAGAGGTGATACACTGACTGTTCATGGCTGTATCCTGAGGGCTCAGACTAGACCTGACATTCGGTAGGCCCTTAACAGATATTTATTGAATGACTGTCAAGTAGAAAAAGCAGTTATCCTGTGTGATATCAGGAAACTGGGATTCTAGCTTTGGCTGTTTTTCTAGTTAGTATATGATTGGGAGCAAGTTTCTTAGAAACCGAGTTTATTTCCTTGTCCATAAAGTGATGTGGTTGGACCATATGATCTCTAAGGGTCATATTAAGCTTTAAAAAAAAATCTATGTCAGGGCCTCCCCTGGTGGCGCAGCAGTTGAGCGCTGGGCTGCGAAGCTGCCCGCAGCCTCTGCAGTGCCGGTTTGATCCCCGGCCACCAGCAAGTGTCCTACATGGCACGCAGACCTCTCCTGCTGCTCGCTGCTCCCCTCAGCAGTGTGTTTCGTCACTCTGCCTGTTCTGTTCCCTGCTCTGGCTCTGGTGAATTCTCTCACCTTCCCATGCTTCTGACTGTATCCAGGGCTTGTATAAATAAATAAATAAATAAATAAATAAATAAATAAATAAATAAATCTTAAAAAAAAAAAAACAAAACTATGTTACCTACTCTTTACAGAAAAAAGAAGGCATTAATGAGGTTGGATATAGATTCATCTCTGGGAGAAAATATAACCATTTTTGACCATCTGTGTTTTTGAATAAGAAAAAAAGCATCAAACTCTAAAATTCTTCACATAAATTGAAAAATGTATTGCATAGCCGGAAAATATATAAGTAAACACTCGAATTATGCAGATCATGCAAACAGTTCTGCAAACAAGTTTTGCAGGTGAGGCTGCAAACAAGTTTAATGTATCAGCAACTTTGTTTTCCTTCATAATGATCATGTATTATCATCACTGGTATTTCTAGAGCACTTACTGTACAGCAAGCACAGCACGAGATTTCTGAGTTTTTTTAAAGAGTTATTTCATTTAATTCCCATAACAGTCCTAGTAAAGATGGTTCTACTTATGGTTTTTAATTAAATTTATTATTTATATATATTTTACATTACTTTTCATTTTTGTACAATATTTGCTTTTTCCTCTCAGCTGTAGTCCCCGTAATATTCCCACCACCAAAAGTAAACAATCAAGTCAAAAAAATGGGCAGAAGAATTAAAAAGACACTTCTCCAAAGAGGAAATGCAAATGGCCACCAGGCATATGAAAAAAATGTTCAGCATCACCCCTAATTAGGGAAATGCAAATCAAAACCACAATGAGATACCATCTTACACCAGTGAGAATAGCACATATCAAAAAAAACTAGCAACAACAAATATTGGCGGGGATGTGGAGAAAAAGGAACTCTCTTGCACTGCTGGTGGGAGTGCAAACTGGTCCAACCACTATGGAAAGCTGTGTGGAGATTCCTCAACCTACTAAAGATAGAGCTTGCATATGATCCAGCAATTCCACTCCTAGGTATCTATTCAAAGGACAAAAAAACATTAATTCAAAAGGACACCTGCATCCTATGTTTATTGCAACACTATTTACAATAGGTAAGCTATGGAAACAACCCAAATGCCCAACAATAGATGACCGGATCAAGAAGATGTGATATATATACACAATGGAATATTACTCAGCAATCAAAAAAGGCAAACTCACGACATTCACAGCAAAATCGTAAGAGTTGGAAGGGATCATGCTCAGTGAAATAAGCCTGAAAGAAAAAGAAAAATTCCAGATGGGTTCACTTATAGGAGGAATGTAGAGGATCCAAATAAGGGATCGGGGTGGGGGAAGTTATTACAATAAAGTGAAAATCAAAATCAACAAGCAACTATAAACCAGAGACATTCTGCAGGGGGCGAGAAGGGAATAGGATCAAAAAAGGGGTGGGAAGAGCACAGGGGACTATGGTGTTGGTGCACGGGTGATTTGGTGGTGGGAATTTCATGGAGACTATAACTGAAATGAGAAAGCATACATTGTAAAAAAATGAAGACCGATGTAAAAAAAAAATATATATATATATAAAAATTCCCATCACCAGTTCACCCATGCACCACCACCATAGTCCCTTGTGTTCTTTCCTCCCCTGTTTTGATTCCACTCCCTCCCTCTCCCCTGCAGAGTGTCTGGTTTATAGTTACCTGTTAATTTTGGTTTTCTATTTATTTTTTTTTTCCTGACCCCTTGTAGTCCTCCTATAAGTGAGAGCATCGGATATTTTTCCTTCTGACTTATTTCACTGAGCGTTATCCCTTCCAGCTTCATCCAAGTTGTTGTGAATGTCTACTTAACGATTTTTTTACTTCAATTGAAAGCGATATGCGGGAGCAATATGCAAATGGTAGAAAATGCACTTCAGATTTGGCACTGAAACCTTTCCCCAGGCTAGCTCATAAGTGCTGTAGGACTCTCCTGTGATGCTGGGCGGGGGCAGCAAGCTGCAATTCCCAACCAGCCAGCTGGGAGCCAGTTGGCTCCCAAACAGCCACATGATCACAAGGATAAACAATTGATGCTCTGCAGACTGTTTTCCACTTTCAGTCCTATATTCAATATATTACATGAGACATTCAGTATTTGATTATAAACTTTTATTAGATAATTTTGCTCAGTTGTAGGCTAATGTAAGCATTCTGAGCATGTTTAAGGTGGGCTAGGCTAAGCAATGGTGTTCAGTGGGTTATGTGTATTGAATGCATTTTCAACATAAGGTATTTTCAATTTACCATAGCTTTATTGGGACATAACTCCATCATAAGTTGAAGAAGATTTGTACTATTGTCCCCATTTTATGGGTGATAAAACTGAGGTTTTAGAAAACTACCTAAATAATAATTCTCTATGTTGTATTTTTATGCTGAAAGCATTGGGTAGCAGTACTGTGCTATTTAACACCTGTGAACTAAAGATCACAAATTCAAGAAAGAAGTGAAAATGTGGTTAGGGGATATAGAAGAGGACGGAAGAGGGATTCTTAGGGTATTACTGAAGAGAATTAGTACTTCAAATCTTTTACAAACAAAACAAATCAGAATTATACACTATAACGTAAGTGATATTTCTCCTCTTTTCTTCCTCCACCTCTAGGAACACTGACGCAGCTTTCCTTACTTTTTCATGTAATCTAACAATAAGCTTCCAGTCCTAGACTATACCTGTCCCTGGCAACTTAAAAGAGCCCAATTAACCTGCTAATTATATTGAAATTATAAAAAGTATCATCATGGGTTACAGCTGGGATCTAGAATCCAATGTTTTGTTTCTGAAAGTGGCATCTAGGCAGTGTTGGCATGAAATGGGCAACACAGGAGCATCGAGCCCTGGGGAAGCAGGGGAGCTGGTGAAGGCAGCTGCAGCTACTCAGCTCCAGCAATGTTGCCATGGGTCCTGTTGACCAAATCTGGTCTCTTCCAGGAAAAGCATTAATTCCAGATTCCTATGTGAAATCTTCTGACATTAAATGCTGTCAATTGCTTTACATTTTTTTAAAAAACAGTACATATCTAAAAAAAACCTCTGCAGGATTCAGCCAGGGGACAGATAGTATGTGATCTCTGCACAAGAATCTTGTTAAAGACACAAAACATCCCCATCTCCAACCCATCACAATTTATATTTTATCTCCCAAGAATTTCTCTCTCTTTTGAAGTATTTATAGTTTCTGTTGTATCTTTTTTATTTTTTTATTTTATTTTATTTTTTAAAGATTTATTTATTTATTTACACAAGCACTGGGTACAGTCAGAAGCACGGGAAGGTGAGAGAATTCACCAGAGCCAGAGCGGGGAACAGAACAGGCAGACCCACGAAATACACTGCTGAGGGGAGCAGCGGGCGTGGCAGGAGAGGTCTGCACACCATGTGGGACCCTCACCGGCGGCCTGGGATTGAACTGGCGCTGCAGAAGCTGCGGGCAGCTTTGCAGCCCAGTGTCCAACACTGTGCCACCAGGGGAGGCCCATGTTGTATCTTTTTTAAAGATTTATTTTTATTTATTTATGCATACAAGAACTGGGGTGTAGGCCATAAGTATGGGGGTGGTGGTAGTGAGAAGATTCACCAGAGACAGAGTAGGGAGCAGAACAGGCAGATCTACTGAAATACACTGCTGAGGGAAGCAGCAGGTGAGACAGGAGAGGTCCCTACCTACTAGGCTAGAATTTGTTAATCTTTAATTTTCACAACTTTACAAATTTCTACCATATGCATTCTTGGTCTTCATTTCCAACTGAAGAATACTGTTAACCTGTGGCAATTAATTTTAATTAATTAAAAAAAGTTTGTATTCCACAAACATTTGCTGAACATTAGGTGCTCTGGGGATATAACAGAACAAAGATGCTACAATTTAGAAGATTAAAGACACCAAAATGTGGCTTACAAGAGTTTAGGGATGGCAAAGACGGGGAGGAGCATGTTTGCTGCCCTGCCGTTTAGGCGGTTCTTCACGTATATCATTTTAAGAGATAGAGACTATTTTCCTGATAATGACTTTATCTACTCATTTTACAGGTGAGTTGATTGAGTTCTTCAGTCATACAGCAAAGAGCAGAGCCAGAATCTGAACCAAGTCTTTCTGATTCCAAAAGAGCTGCCAGGGGCCTCACTGGTGGTGCAAAGGGTTGATGAAGCTATCCATAACCACTGTAGCACCAGTTCAATCCCCAGCTGGGGAGGGGGGCGGTGACCCACATGGTGCAGGAGACCTCTGCTGACTCTCCTGCTGCTCACCTCAGCAGTGTATTTCAGTCAATCCGCCTGTCAATTCTTTTTTTAAAGATGTATTTGTTTATACATACAAGAACTGGGGTACAGACCAGAGATATGGGGGGTGAGAGGATTTACCACAGACAGAGTGGGGAACAGAACAGGCAAACTGACTGAAATACATTGCTGAGGGGAGCAGTGGGTGAGACAGGAGAGGTCTGCTGCTCCATGTGGGTAGCTCCCTGCCCAGGGATCCAACTAATGCTGCAGTGGCTGTGGATAGCTTCATAGGTTGCGTCTTAACCCCTTGCACCACCAGGTAAGCCTCTCAACCTCCCTGTTCTTTCCCTGCTCTGTCTCTGGTGAATTCTCTCACCCTCCACACCTCTGGCCTGTACCCTAATTCTTGTATGCATAAATAAATCTTAAAAAAAAAAAAGAGCTGCCACATGCTAAAATCATGTGGTCTTCCAGAGTGGTATTAATAATTTAAGCCTACAGGGAGGAGGAAGGCCTCCTGGGGGAGATATGAGTTCCGCTCTGTCTAAACAGGGAGGAAAATATGGTATTTGAGGAAGAGAATAGGATAAAATTAAAGAGCTATATAAAGCCAGCCATTCAATAGTGTTAAATCCATGTTAAGTGCCCCCCCCCCAAAAAAAGTAGATTGCGACCTGTCCTGGAGGGACTTGAGGGTTTGAACAGGAGTAATAACTTGCATGGACATGCTTTGGGAAAACAAATTGTGTCAGTGGTATGCTCTAGAGTCAGTAGCCACTGACTCTTGTGGTTATTTAAATTAAATGTAATTAAAATAAAACCAAATGAAATATACTGCTCCTTAGTCACACTACCTACATTTCAAGTGCTCAGCAGCCACAAGTTGCAGGGGCTACAGTACTAGACAGCACTGATAAAAATATTTCCATCATCACAGAAACTTCTGTTGCATATTGCTGGAGAAAGGAGAGACTGAGGCAAAAAGACCATTTGAAGGCCATTAATATTACAGCAGTCCAGGGGAGAGATAACAAATTGTAACTCATGGGACCACAATCAAGATGGATGGGAGGGACAGTTGGAATGCTGTTTTTAAAGGGCTCTTCAAATGTCAGGCTAAAACAGCAAGGGAAAACATGATTTCCTTAATTTTTTTGAAGATTTATTTATTTATGCATACAAGAACTGGGGAATATGCCAGAGGTGTGGGGGGCAAGAGTATTCACCGGAGATAGAATGGGGAGCAGAACAGGTGAATCTACTGAAATACACTGCTGAGGGGAGCAGCAGGCTAGACAGGAGAGGTCTGCTATGCTATGTGGGTCAGATCCCTGCCCTGGATGGCACTCATGTGCAATGACTGGTGATAGGCTTGGTAGAGCTGAGACTTAACCTCTGCATCACCAGGGAGACCCCAGATTTCCTTATTTTTTAAAAGTAGTTTTCTGGAATTTCTCCAGCTCCATTATGTTTTTCTTGATTTCATAGAAACCCTAGTGGTTCATTTTCACACACTAGCAGTACCCTGCCCAACAAGATACAATGACCAGAAGCTCCTGCTGACAGGTTGCAGGTGTACTGTGGTGTGGATAAGGCAAAGCATTTCAGAACAAAATTATTCAAATTGCACTGATGGGCTAATGACTTTTTTTTTTTTAGCTCAGATAATACAAGAGGGAGTCTTTGTTACTGACTCCTGAAGTCATCAATTCCATGGGGTTTCTGCATTCAGTATGACTGACAACGTCCTATGTTCTACCTGTAAATTTGAAGATAAAAGCATCCACATAGGAAACACTTTCATGATGCTTCCTGCCATCAGACAAAATATTTAGGTGGATGAACCATCGGTGTGAACTACTTGAGATTTCATTTTCTTATTCTACAAATATGACATAATTCTGAGTATCTGAAATCACTACTAACTGAAGAGAAATTAGTTTAATCACTCTAGCCCCCACTTGGTGCCCACACTTGGTTCCACAAACATCAGCATCATTTAAGAACTTGTTAGAAATGCAAGTTCTCAGTCCCCCCCCTAGCAAGACCTAATTAATCAGAAGGTCTGAGAATGAGCCAGCAGTGTTTTAAGAAGCCCTCCAAGTGATGCTGATACACTAAAGTAAGAGGACCCCTGCGAATGTAGCCAATTACCTTTAGTCAGGTTTGCAGTGATAAATTCAGGGGCCACTGTTAAAATATAGGCACTTTTGTCCTATTCCTTCTACCCTCGTACTACTTCTCCCTGTCTATCCAGACATCCATTTATTCACTTATATATGTATTAGAAGTATTTTAATAACCCAAAAATAAGCAATGTAAGTGCAACAAACTTTCTATTTACCCAATAGGCATGAATGCTGAACCTTTTTGTAGTTGCAATAATATCTTTCCATTGATACAAATCATCTTCATATGTTTTCTTTATTCATGGGAAGGTAAAATTCACTTCCAGAATTTCAAAATAGTATTTGTAATTCCACCAGAAACCTCCCTTTGCTCATTACTACCTACATTATTATGGGGAATGTATTTGAATTATAATAAAGGCACAAGCAAAGAGCTTTGGGTCACTGTGTCTACTGGCTGAGCATAAATTAAAAAAGACAGCTTCAGGGAACTAACCATTGGACACTTAAACATAAACTACCTTTAATGCCAAGTGGTGCATATTACCAGTAAAATGTGTTGGACAGAAAGTCATTTTTGGGAGTGTGGGAGAAGGCTTCACAGACGGACACTGACACATAAAAAGGATTTGATAAGAAGTGGGGGCGCGGGAGGAAAAACGCTTAGTGAGAAGGAACTGTGAATAAAGGAAGTGAGATCTGAAAGTACCCGTGTGGCATCAGGCCTCGGGAGGAGAGAGATGGGCCACTTAGGTAAGGTTGGGCGGGCCGCTGACCAGTTCTGGCCCATCTGACAGCTCAGAAGTGCGAGTTAGCAATGCTGTCAGCTCGCAAAACGCACACATTGTTTCTTGTCATTGCCATTCCATTGTTTCAAAAGCAGAGACAATCCCTCTGAGAGATAAGCTCCCAGGGGCAGCCATTATTCATTACACAAATATCCTCCGCTCGTCTCCTGCGACGTGCCTGGCCCTGCGGGCCACGGCCTCACCTCGGGACTTTGAAGTGTAACCGGGGCTGGTCGCTCGCTCACGGACGCTCGCAGGGGACCCACCTTGGCCTCGTCGCTCACAATCTGCAGCCCCCAGTTCCCGGGCGCCTCCCGGCGGCCGCACACCTGGTTCCCTAGCAGGCGCTGGATCCAAGGGGGGATCCCTCCCGGCTGGCGGCGCCGCGGATCCCCACACCGGCGGTTCCCAAGCCGTTGAGGCCGAACCCCCGGAGAGTTCGGGCGGGCGGGGGACTAGAGTGAGGGCTAGGAAGGGGGGCATGGCCTGTGCGGGGAGAGGGTGTCTGGACCGTGGAAGCCTCTACCTACGCCGCCCAGGCCGCCCCTGGCTTGGAGGTTTGACTGCTTTTGATTGAAGGCCTATTTGATGTCAGGTCTGGAGCCCTGCATTTCACAGACAGTGATTGTATCCTGGGTCAGAAGATGTGTCAGGAAATAGGAGGTTAGGACTTGCCTAGGTGTCCAACACTCGCTGCATACCCTTTGCTCTCCCCCACTGAAGAACACTCTTGCCCAGGTCTCCCCTGTTAAATCTTCTGTCTGTCTCTCTCTCTTGCTCTCTCACCACCCAAAACCTCCTCCTGTAGCTCACTCATGTCACTGTCTCATTTCTCTCACTTTGTTTTGTTTTCTTGCTTGACCCACTTACGGTTTTATCCCTGTTGAATTACTGTATTAACACCTAACACATTATTCACTCTACACGTTTCTTTTTATAAATTATCTCACCTCCATAAGGGCAGGGATTTCGATGTCTTGCATTAAGTGCTGTATTATCAATGCCTGAAAATTGTGGTAGTTGTATTAAGAGTTAATAAATTTGCTTTGAATGATTATTCTCTAGTCAATGTAATTGCTCCACGTAGGCAGCAACTGTGTCTGTTTTTTAATTACCTTTCTATAGAAGTGCCTGACACCTAGTAAACATTCACTGTATACCTGTTGTACTGAATGTCAATTAAAAAAAGAGTGAGTGAATGCACTGCTCACTTTATCTTTACCCTTTCAGCAAATCTCACCTTATTATCCTCATTTGTTGGATAAATGTATGATTTTCTTAAGATTTCTACTTCCAGGTTTCCTCTGCTGTATTCATCCACTCATTCCACCCCTCATTTCTTCAAAGTTACATTTTTGCTCTCACTTCTTCCTTCAACCTCTATTACTTCTTAGAAAACTCCCTAACTTGCAGGTTGCAACATTTTCAAGCAGCATGTCTTAGTAGGCAAGAGAATTCAGGCTAAGTCACACTGAATCCAAAATAAAGCATTCCACAAATCACCTATGACCTTAGGTTTGACTTTTTTTTTCCCCCTTGAAGAGAGCTGAGAATCCTACCCCTCCTCCTAAATAAAGATCATAGTAATTATTCATAATCTGTTCGACACTGTAGATGCTGGGACAAGACACACAGTTTGAGCACTCCAATGGATGTACTGCACAAAACAGAATAATCATGGGACGTGATGAGACTTGTCCTGGCTTGGACCTAGTAATTTCTTTTTTAAAAAAAATTATTTATTTATGCATACAAGAGCTGGGATCCAGGCCAGAGATACGTGGGGTGATAGGATTCACCAGAGACAGCGTGGGGAACAGAACAGGCAGACTGACTGAAATGCACTGCTGAGGGGAGCAGTGGGTGAGTCAGGAGAGGTCTGCTGCACCATGGGGGTTGCTCCCTGGCCGGGGATCAAAATTGTGTTGCAGAGGCTGCATATTGCTTCATTAGTGCAATGTTTAATCCCTTGCACCACCAGGGAGGCCCTGGACCTAGTTATTTCTAAGAGAAGTAACTAAGAGTATAAATTGAAAGATGAATTGACTTACCTAGTGAGAATATGCTCTGTTCTTACTCTGAGAGGCAAAAATTAAAAGCTTGAAATCTTCACTGGAAGCTCTTCCCCACAGAAGTCAGTTACAGACCTTCAGAATAATGGTTTTAAAATTGCTTCCCTTTTTGAATTAATGTAACCTTTGGGTAGATTCCTAGGAGTGGAATTGCTGGGTCATATGGAAGCTCCATTTTTACATGTTTGAGGAAACGCCACATAGCTTTCCATAGTGGTTGGACTAGTTTGTATTCCCACCAGCAGTGTAGGAGAGTTCCTTTTTCACCTCATCCTCGCCAACATTTGTTGTTGCCTGCCTTTTTAATGTGTGCCATTCTCACTGGTGTAAGGTGGTATCTCATTGTGGTTTTGATTTGCATTTCCCTGATTATAAGGGATGTTGAACATTTTTTTCATGTGCCTGTTGGTCGTTTGCATTTCCTCTTTGGAGAAGTGCCTTTTCAGCTCTTCTGCCCATTTTTTGACTGGATTGGTTACTTTGTTTTTGTTGAGTCTTGTGAGCTCTTTGTAGATTTTTGCGATCAGTTACTTATCATTCTTTTGCATGTGGTAGTCCAGTTTTCCCAGCACCATTTAATCAACAAACTGTCCTTGTTCTAGTGCATATTCTTTGCTCCTTTGTCAAAGATTAGTTGTCCATATATATGTGGGTTTATTTCTGAAATTTTCTATTTAATTCCATTGGTCTCTGTGTGTGTCTGTTTTTGTTCCAGTAGCATACTATTTTAATTATTATGGCTTTGTAGTATAGGTTGAAATCAGGGATACCTCCATACTCTTTTTTTTTTTTTTTTTTTTTTTTTTAGTCAGGAGAGCTTTGTCTATTCGAGGTTTTCTTGTGATTTCATATGAATTTCATCATTACTTGTCCTATTTCTTTGAAGAATGTCTTTGAAATTTTATCAGTGTAGCATTGAATCTGTAAATTGCTTTCAGTAGGGTGGCAATTTTGATAATGTTAATTCTTCCAATCCATGAGCAAGGGATGTCTTTCCATTTCTTTGTGTCTTCTTCTATTTCTTTTAACAGTGTCTATGTTTATTGCAGCACTATTCACAGTAGGTAAGATATGGAAACAACCCAAATGCTCAAAAATAGATGACTGGATCAAGAAGAGGTGGTACATATACACAATGGAATATTACTTAGCAATCAAAAAAGATAAACTAATGCTGTTGACAGCAACATGGACAGAGCTTGAAGGGATCATGCTCAGTGAAATAAGCCAGAAGGAAAAAGAAAAATATCTAATGGCTTCACTTTTAGGAGGAATATAGGGGAACCAAATAAAGGATCAGGAAAAAAAACAATAACAACAATAATAATAAAACAAAACTAGCAGACAATCATAACTAAGAGACATTCTGTGAGGGATGGGGAGGAAAAGGGAGCAAAACAGGGGAGAGAAGAGCACAAGGGACTATGGTGATGGTTCACAGGTGATCTGGTGGTGGAAACTTTACCGGGAATACCCAATGATGTAAATAAAAGATATAAATAAAAATACATAAAAAACAAAATAATAATAATAATGCTTCCCTAAGGAAGATTCAGTTTCTGCATCTGGATCAAACTATTTGGATGTATTTTTAAAGTGCACTCTGTGTGTGTGTGTGTGAGTGTGTGTGCACGCGTGCGCGCTCATCACGAACCTATCCTATTAGACCTTCCTTGGGTTCTGGGTACTTGCATTTTTAAACTCCCAGGGTGCTGCTCCTGCACAGAAAATTTGAGAACTACGAGGAGAGTCTGAGTGAAAACCTCAGTCTTACTGCAGGGCTAATATTTGCTTTTGGGACAGAATTCCGAAGAATAAGCCATATGTTTTTGAGCAGATGGGAATGCAACGACTTTCTGGCAGGAACCTTCCCCTTTTTTATGCAAGCATTCTTTGGAAATTAGGGGTCCGCTGAGCAGCTGCTCGGCTGCTGGTGACGACCCGCAGTTCAAAGATCTCCTGGCTCTTTTCCTGACACCCTATTTGTCCCTGTCGCTTCTCGCCGTGCAGCCAGGCATTTGCCCCGCCGACCACTGCGAGGCGCACGCGACGTGCGCTGCCCGCTCATCTTCCCCCGCCACCTCCGCTCGGCGCAGATCAGACCCGGGGAGTTCCTGCCTCTGGTCGCCAGCTGTTCTCTCTTCTCGCGAGAACTGCTCTTCTCGTCCCCCTTCCTTCAGGAGCCCCCTCCCGCGGGCATGTTCCATATTGGGTAAAATCTCGACTCACGGAGAGTCCCGGGAGCTGTTCTCGCGAGACTACGCGGGAGGCTCCTGTTCGCTGGCTCTGGAACCGCGACTACTGGAGCCTTAGTGGGCTGCAGTCGGAGTCACGGTCCGGCCCCAGAGCCCGGAGGCGGCCTGGTCGGGGAGGGTGCAGGGGGAGCGCGGTGGGCGCAGCCTCGAGCCCCGGAGCGCGCCCCAGCCCTTAGCTCGGGCTCGCCCCGGTAGCTGAGGCGCGATCAGTCGCTGCACTGACAGGGGCCGCGCGCGCGGGAGTCGGCGGGGTCGCGGCACCCGCACCTGCGCCCGCAGCCAGCGCGGGGTCCCCGCCCGGCTGGGCAGGCGAAGAGGCCGGGGAGCGGGTGCGGGCGCAGGCACAGCCCCGCGGGGCCACCTCCTCGCTCCGCGGCCGCCGCTGGAAGATGTCTCAGGAGAGGCCCACGTTCTACCGGCAGGAACTGAACAAGACCATCTGGGAGGTGCCCGAGCGTTACCAGAACCTGTCCCCGGTGGGCTCCGGCGCCTATGGCTCCGTGTGGTGAGTGTCACCAGGCCTGGGCCGCGGTAGGCTGGGTGGTCGCTCATGCCCGACAGCCAGGCCTGCCCCCTCGACTCAGCAGTACACCAGGCGCCAGGAATTTTTCTCGGGGGAGGGCATTGCTGCCCCTTCGGCCCCTGCCCTGCACTCCTGTACCCCTTGCACCCCTCAACCTGCACACCCAGGTCAGACGTGTGCAGGACGCGCGTCCACGATGGGTGGTAGGTGGTGGTGCTGGAATTCGGCCCTGGCTCGCTCCTTGAACATTCCCTTCTTGAGAGGGCTTGGGGCGGGGGGGGCGGTGTGCTGCTCAGGGACCAGGCACGGAATGGGGGAGCTCTTTAGGGAGCTCTCTGCTGGCTTCGAGCAGAAGGATCCTCTCCGGAGCTGCGCCTACCTGGGGCGCGGGAGCCTGCCCTCGCAGCAGACGAGTCCCGGTTGCCGCTGGGAGCAGCAGAAGGGCACACAGCCCAAATGGGAGACTGCGGTCATCTGAACCAAATTGACCACGGAGGGCGTTCTGTCCGGCCTTTTTTGTGTGTGCAAACCTCCGTCGAAATTCCATTTTGAGAAGCGTTCATTCTGAATTCGCTCTTGAATTAGCAGCAAACCACAGAGCTTAAAATACTGACTTTATCTTGGTGAGGACTGTGCCAACTTGAATGGTGTGTTTCCGACCCTGTTCAAAGCGTATTTCCTTTTCGCAGGGGTGGGGGTGGCAGTGCCTGTGAGAATTCTGCAGCTTGAGAAACTGGCGTCCTCACTGATTAGTCACATACCACACTGCTCATTTAAGTATTGTTTGACAAAACAATTTTCTCACTTGCAGCAAGTGAGATTCAGATTCGTTGGACGCCCTGAAGATCAAAAAGTTATTAACAATGCTGGGAGGTATTGTAACTATTTTTACATTGCGATAATTCTTATGAATACTGTGTTTTTAAGGCCCCGTAGAGAGTTAACAGGGAACTTATCTACATTTATAGCCTGAGGTTTTCATAAGGATGTGGAATAATAACAAAGGATGGAAGAGACACGTTTTAGTTTAAAATCACCCTGTGTGTTAAATTGCTACCAAAAAATTTCAGGACCTGAGATACTTCTCTGACTTCTCAGATTGTGTACACTATGTTTTAGATGTACTGTAAATTGAGAGCGCCTGCTTAGAAACTAGTTCGTGCATATGCATTATTTGAAAAGGGGGCTATGTAATTATTTTTTGTTTTGGAACAAATTCCAGTCTTTTGAACTTGTTAATGGTTAAATATAATTCCTGTATTTCTTAAAGTCGCATCATGAATTTCCTGTTTGGTAGAATCTTCTGGGTAATTGAGATTGTGCAATAGTGTCCAGTAACAGATCATATTGCATTTTCTAGTTCAAGCTCTGTGAGTTATCTTGCTGATGGCACCATATTTGACTTCTTTTCTACATTTTTTTAGTATGGCAATTTACATTTGAAAGAATTTGCAGCATTTGTGTGTGTGTGTGTGAGAGAGAGAGAGAGAGAGAATTTTCAAATATGTACTTGGGTTCCTTTAATAGCTCATTAGTTTGCCTTCATTTTTCGTTATTAAATCAACACATTAACTTTTGTGGTATCAAATTTTTGTTTCCAGCTGATGTTTAAACTTTATTGGAAAGAATAGCCCAACTGCAGGGAGTTGATTGAGCTTGAAAAAAACTGCTTGCAAGGTTTCCCTACTGTTAATTTTTATAGCTCTGCACTGGAACAGGAGATTCAGATTTAAATGAAGTGCTACTAAAACGAACTCCACATTTCTTTAGTGCTATGCTTTTCTGGCTTATGGACTCCAGTAGTATCTATAATTTTATTAAACAAGTTTTTAAAAATATATAATAGTTACATTTTATAAAATTCAAAAGGTGTAAAAGGAGATCAGTGGAAAGTCTTTTCTTTCTTGTTCTGCAGTTACATTATTCCTTTTCTCAGAGACAACCACTGTTAAGTTTTGAAGGCAGAGTATGTTGGTGTTCAGTAGTAGTTCAACTAAAGGGATTTAAGGTATAACCTATAGAGATAAGGTGTTATCTCTTGGTGGATGAACTGAAATTACCTGACATTGTGTGAAATTATATGAAAATTGAACAAATGTAACTGATTTTGGATTGGCAGTATCAGAATTTAGATTTACAGGTACATGTGTTCTCATTCAGAGTAGTTATTTGAAGTTGTTCTTTAATTTAGCAACTTTTCAGTTATGGCAGAAAACATTTTTAGGGAACTTTTAGAATCTGTTTTGAAACCTGTGCTATTTTTCACTGTTTTTAATCCACTGAGGGCAGGTATGATTTTAGGTAATAACAAAATAAAATTGAATCCAAATTTCTTAGGGAATTTGAACTCAAGTCTGGTGAAAGAGGTTAGGTAATCAGGTTGGTGACCTGCTTTAGGTCAACTAGGAGTTGTAAGTATAAAGTAATGACACAGAATTTCTTGTGTGACTTGTAGAACTGGATCACAATGAAATCTGATCCAGAAAAGAATCTCTGAAAGTGTTTGAAGGAATGCAGCATCACTGAAATATGTGCCAGTCTCTAAAGTTGATTGCTCTGAAGTGCAACTTAATTTTTTTTTTACATTAAGCCTTGCATTTTAATTTACAGTAAGTACATAGTAAAAAATGCAAGTAGCAGCCGCTTTTATAACTAACTGTAAGTGAATCAAAGATCAAAGAATCAGACTAGAAATTTGAGAATTGATAGGGTTTTACAAATATGCCTTTTCCTTTTTAAGGGATAAAGGGAACTAAACTAAGTCTTAACAGTTTTAAGGAACTTTATGCAGCCTCCCTGAGGGGAAATGATGCAAAATTGTTCAAGAACACGTTGTTGCAAAGCATTGATTTTTGTAGGTTTGAAACAGATGGGGGAAATCTTTGTGGTAAGTTTAAGGAAATATATAAACAGGAACTTAAATGTCTTTCCTTGGAGCATGGGTTTTCAAGACCTTTGCTGTTAATTAGAGGCGTAGGGTGCTAGTAACCACAAAGTAGGTGAGAATTGAGAATTATCCTTAAACCATATTCAATCACTTATTCAGTAATATTTGTTCAGTACCAATTGTGGACCAGATAGTGGGCTAGGTTTCTTAAGATAGAACAAGACATTCCACTCCTCATAGAGCTTCTAGCCTAATGCAAAAATAATAATAATATTTTATAGATGGTTTGCTATGTTCTAGGTATTGTGCTGTGTAGCCTATATTTAATATCAGTGCATAAAAAATACATAAGGCTTTTAGTGAGAGGATGGCAGGATTTACTAAGAAATCAAATTCAACTTCCTAAACATTTTGTGGAAAAAGATTGTGTATAAATAAATATAATACAAATAAATGAAGTTACTTTTTGTTGGCACTAATGGCCAACAAAAAAGAAAAAAATCACCCCCCAAAAAGAAAAAAATCTCTTTTAGATTGAACCAGGGCAAAAATAAATAAAAATATGTCACTGAGTATGCAAAGATGATTTTTTTTTAGTGAAACTTTTTTATTTTCTTATATCACTGTTCATTTTTGTACAGTATAAGATTTCTCCCCTTAGGTGTAGTGCCCATAAATCTCCTACCACCACATCATCCATGAACCATCCCCATAGTCCCTTGTGCTCTTCCCTCCCCTATTTTGATCCCTCTCCCTCTCACTTCCCAGTTGTATGTCTCAGATCTATATTTTGCCTGCAAGTTTTGTCTTTTTTTCTTTGACGCTTTGTTCGATTTCCCTCTATTCCTCCTGTAAATGAAACTATCTGATATTTTTCTTTTTCCTTCTGACTTCACTGAGTATAATCCCTTTCAACTCCATCCAAGTTGCTGCAAATGGCGTGAGTTTACATTTTTGATTACTGAGTAGTAGTCCATTGTGTATATATACCACATCTTCGTGATCCATTCAAAAGATGACTTTCTTGATTCCTGGTCAATGAGGGACATGTCCCTTACATTTCTAGTGGTAGTAATGGGCCCATGCAGATCCTTCTTCCCATTTCTTTTCTTTGTAACCAAAAGCAAGGTATTTGGTACATGTCATCAATGCCAACCAATAAGAAATATTTAAACACGATGGCAAATACTGTATTCTTGATATATAAAAACTTTTAAGAAAGAATTCAGTCCAATTGGCTACAGAGGCATATCTATTGAATCCTATGTTTCTGTTGGCTCTCATTTTAAAATAAGGGTATCCCTAATCCTTGGCTTTTTAATTCTACCAGTTTAATTTCTTGATACTGAGGAGTACTCTTCTTTTGATTTCTCTTTCTCAGCTTCAGAAAAGATCTGGTGTTAACTTTTCCTTTCATGGGTAACAGTAGAGATGGTGCTGAGCCCCTGGGGCTTAGGATTCAAAGGTGGGAGCATTCCCTGAGTTAGATCATTGTCATTTTAGTATTAACTGACATTTTTATGGGGTTTTACAGTTTGTAAAAGTCTTTCATTCAAAGCATTATCATTCAGTCCTGATTGGCTCTGTGAAGGCAAGTGTTACTAACCCAGTTGTATACATGAGGATTTGGGCTCATTCAATAAACAAACAACATATTTTGGTGCAACTTTGGATTTAGTTCTGGGGGTTCAATACTTTAGAAGTGTCTTTTCCTGTGTATGTGCGCTGCTGAGGTATAGTGGCACCTTTTTTGTGCCCCTGTCTCCCCCTACCCCTCTTTTGTGAAGAAAGGGGTTGCTGCATCACTTGGCAATAGAGCAGTGACTGTGGGAATCCAGTCCCACCAATGTCATTGCCTAACTAATCTGAGGGGCAAGGACAACTTATTAAAGTCTTCCTTGGATTTCATAAACCAAATGTGAACTCATTACCTAGATTTATTTTCCCCCAAAGAATTATTAGGCAGCGCAAATAGTTTACTCCTGAATTTATAAATCTTGTTGGTTTGAAAGTCTTCAATGTGTGTTTTGTAAAGTTGGGACTACACATACATGTTTGATAAAGTATGGGGTATAAATAGAAACAACTGCCTCTC